ATACTGCAATAAGATGATTCCCGTAGTCTTAAGGAAATGCTTTCCGCCTCGGAAAGAGCGCAACGCTCAATGCTCAAATATCTAATTCCACCTCATCATTACGCGTTGCCGACACATTATGCGCATAGGCATCATCATTCTCGGCTGTTTCACTGCGAACAATGAGGCTGCAGTGAATAAGAAACTAACTCCGGATTCTCCGAGTGCGTTGGAGATGACGTTCGGAGAAGCCAGACCTGAAGACAGATTCCTTGGGAGGAAGCTGCGCCATCCAGCGTGTGTCGCGGTGGCCGGAAGAGTGAGTGAGAATGACTAAGAGGAGTGTTGAATGTTGTTGGCAGGAAATCAGAGGCTACGTTGAGTACACCATCTCAGAGTTGAAGGGCTTGGAAAGGTAGAGGACGCATCAGTTTCCTCTAGGAACTGACAAGATATCTTCAGGACCCTTGACGATGATGAAATGGGTGATGATGACGTTTTCGAAGCTCCCGCCGATGAGAACATGATCTTCACTAAACAGGCTGAGATCGACAATTTCCACATCAAGAAGGCGTGGCAGAACAGGTTGCCGGAGTTCTTGAAGTTCTGTCAAAAACAAGTGAGGATCCTCAGCAGACGTTCGGTGTGATCGTCATCTCAGATCGCGAGGAGCTTTCCACAAGTTGGTGTGATTCGTATACGTGTCAGAGAGCCGAATAAGGATCCGGTGGAGAAAGCAGACTTCCAGCGAGTGAGCAGTGGTAAGCTCTTTCCGAGTGGACGTCTATTTTGGACTACTCCAGAATTTCTCAGACTCCTCGGGAAGACTAATTTACGAATATGTTCCCACAAGACTCGACCGTCTACCTCCAGCTTGAAACTTCAACTCTTCAGCATCGATTAGGTTACCAAGCAGACAAATTGTTGTTGTTGTTGTTGTCTTCTTTCGTGTGCTTGCGTGGTAAGTCTTCATGAACATATCTAGATTGGGAAGTGTTTCATCTGCTCGACAGAGAAGAACTGTCTTTCCAGACAGGGTCGAGACTCTCGACTCGAGAGAGCTTGTTCGTGCTTGGCCTCCTCTTGCAGTGCAAAACTTGCGCAGTGTCGTGAAACAATCGTACGTAACGGGTCCCTCTCATACTTCGTGTTTCTGTTGCTGCATAGTGTGACCAAGACTGACAGATTTCACCCTGAACCCATCAGAGTCCATCCAGGTTCTCCCAGGCTGGGAGTCTCAGCATCACGAGTTTTCTCAATGAGAAAAATCGTGATGCTGGAGGACACTGAGACTCTTAGTGCGAGTTGGATTGACTACTGTAGATGACGAGCAAATCCCGTTGTGTAAACAGTGTTTTCTCCCATACAGTTGATAAACTAGAAAGTTCATCAGTTAACTTCATTATTTTCTGGATAATTTCTGAAAAACCACGTCGTGAGAATAATAATTTCTATCATAGAAACTAAGGTGTGAACCCCTCCTTATATACCGCTGAGTTTCAAAGATCATCGGATCGACTCCGTGATTCGGGTATACAATCGCTGCTCACTCGGGCACCGAATCAATCTGGTCCCCTGAATCTCAATGCAACTGGTTACCCATGCGGTAGGGGATTACTTGTATTATGGAGAACTGACATTCTATCGCTTCGAGCATGCAAGCCATTGAGCTCGTGTGCAGTGCAACCCGAGAAGCAGTCACATCAGCATGTATGATGAGATTGTGTTAACTTCTTGTGTGTATCTATGTAGTTAATGTTCTCTTAGTGTAAACTAGCGCTATGCTCAGTTACTATACTCATAATCGGGGACTTAATGCCTTTAGCGACTCTTAAGTGAGTTGCTGTGTTGGATTCACCCGGTGAATTTCACCGGCTTTCGATAATGAGAAGTGAGAATGTTGTAGTCACTTGAAGACAAAAACACTTCCCCTCTATAGCTGTCTCATAATTCCGATGTAGCTGTGTATCTAGCGTCAAGCTAGTATGGTAGTCTTCTACTATTGAACTACCATGAATGTTCTAAGCTGTTATTAATCTTATGTTCCGCGTGAGATCAGACGGTGTTTCCGGAACACTGTTTCGTTAACTCGAAGGGTATTGGGAACCGTCACATTGTCTTACTGAGCACAACTCCGAAGCTATCACTTGTCACATCATAACACTAACATCTTGCTCCATTAACCATCACGAATTCAACTGTTACCATTTTTGTGTGTACTTGAGAGAATCCGAATACTGGCGGGTCCAGGGCATGCCGTACTCAATAAGGCTACCAGAATAACATTCTGGTAGTCTCTTTTTGGATTTTTCTCTAGGATTGCTGCAGTTCGATCGCGGTAGAACTTCTACCGAAATTGATATTCCTATGTGCGAAAAGGAAGTAACTTTCGTTCCGAAATCGAAGTTCCTAAATCTCTTTGTCGAAATTGGAGTTCCTAAATCGACGCGCCAACGAAATTAAAGTTCCTAATTCGACATGTTGATGAAATTGGAGTTCCCTAAACCGCGCACCGTCGGAATTGGAGTTTCAATAGGGGTATCGTGGGGCACGAACTCGCTCACCTGATGAGAGTGAAGTTTTTAATGTTGAAATAGAGGTTGAAAAGGTGCAGTTCTATCGGTGATCGGTACCGCGGGAAGATGAGCATAGAATGCGCATATTGGATATTGCAAGTGTCGTGGAGCAGGTTCTTCTCGACGAATATGCTTGGTCGTGCCTTGAGAGCCTCCATTAGCAAACGAGTATGGAAGGGCATGAGAGGGGGCAGCTGATCAGTGAATGAAACGTCTCCTCATAGACTACCCTCAATACCATAGTACTATGAACTGAAGATGTATTTGCATCTGTGAAGGAGGATAGTTGAATCCTGCCATAGCGTAAGTATCGATGAAGCTCCTGATGGCAACACAATGACCAAGCAGCTTGTATGATATTGGCTACCCCGGATCACGCATGATCTCGCTGACCACTGAAGGACTGAAGAGCTTCTTGACAAATTCAGGATTTGATATAAATTGTGAGACAGCAACATCCTTGGCAACTCGGTAAAGGGCCTGAAGGTAGAGGAGAGAGAGGAAGGAGGGCTACGGCGCGTGCTAGGTCCCCGATCTCGCTAGAAAATCCCCAGAATCGATATGCCGGGTCTGCTTGGGTATCACAGAATGACTATTGCTTCCAACCCGAGGAGAGACGATATCTCGAGATCGAATCCTACATACTGGCATACGTGATTTTTGGGAGAGACCGACGAGTCGAGATCGGCGAAGAACGAAGTTGCAGTCACGTCAACAGGTCAGAGTAGAACTGTACCTCCATGATGTCGAGGCCTTCTCTTGGACGAGCCAGCAACCACCTCCAGTCTGGGAGATATGTTCGGTTGGTATTACATTTAAATGAC